TTTTAAAAATTTTATAATTTGACGATTTAAAAGTAAAATTTACATACGTAACTTGTGCAAAATTAAAAATTTTTTAATGTTGCACAAGTTACGTATGTAAATTTTACTTTTAAATCGTCAAATTATAAAATTTTTTAAATATAAATTGTATAAATATATATGTCGAAAACATTTTGTAAAAACATAAATAATGAAAGATCGATTTTATAAACTAAATTTTTGGAAGTATATAAATACATAAATTTTTAAATTGATACATAACATGTGATTAATATTTTAAAGATATATTAATATGTCAGTGTAAGAGTATACAAGCAAATTTTAAGATAGCTGTGAGCTATTATAGTTATACTTTAATTGTTTTGATTGCAACACGTAGAATTTAGTATCGCGGCACTTAATTCACATTAATCGTAATAAAAACGAAATAAAACAAAGTTCTAAATTTAATTTGAAGTAAAAATAAAAGCGCGAGTACAATGATAAAGAGGCGTGAATAACAAGTATTCCCCGTTATGAGGATTTCTCACGGGCGTAATAAAATACCCAATCTTTACAAGATAAAGTGAAGGATGAGAGAAGCTCACTCGCTGGTTCTTGGCAACGTTCCCACGCGGCGTATAAAAGAAAAGTCGAAAAAAAAGGCTCGACGATGTATAATCTGATATCGAGGCGTAGATAAAAGGCCGGATTAAAACTGGAATTAAATCATTTTGGTCCTGGCGAATCCAGCGCGGCTCCGATATTAATCCACTGGCGCGCGTACACGTTGACTCGCCGTTGCACAGATCCGTCCCCCTTGCCTCCCTGCATCTTCACCACGATCATCAATCCCCCTTCTGTCCTCCCCCGCTCGTGCTGCCCGGGTTCGCGGAGGTTAGTCGCTTCTCCTGGGAAACCGAGAGCTGCGCTGTAGCGTCAGAGTGCACGGGGGTTGCAACCCCCGCGCAGCGGACGAGGGAATGAAAGCGTGGGATGGGAGGGTGAGGAGGAGAGGGGGGGGGAGGAATGAAAGCGCGATCGTAAGGGCGGTTTCGCCGCTGCGCAACCGGCACGACGCAGACATCGTCCGCTATATACCTGGTTCAACGACCACCGCCCTGCTCTCGTCCAACCCTGAAGTACTCCAGCCCGGCTCGATGGGGGATGCACGGCGGCGCGCAAGGGGGGAAAACGCACTCCCGGCGACGGGGGCGAGAAACGGGCAAAGGGAGGGACGATATCGTGGCTCGCGGGGGAGAGGGGTACCGGTAGGGGCGGGGTGGTATCGTCGGAACGGAGGTCTCGCGAACCCGCCGGAGCGGCCCACGGGCCAGTTCCGTCTTGAGCCCAGGGGTAGAAGAGCTACTGGCCGCTTGTCTGCTCCCTTCTTTCGCTATAGTTTCATTTCTTTCCGTTTTAGTTCCTCTTCAGTTCCGATTGATTGACATGTACACGTATAATATATAACCGCAAATATCTCGGCACACACACACACACACACACATAACACACGTACACACATAAAACACGAAGAGACGCACACACACGCATACGTAAAAGACACACACGCATACCGTCGTCAACGCAGGGACACCGATCCGCTCTCTCACGCACAAACGCTATCACGATACACACGGTATACACACACGTATTTACATACGCACACGGTAAATTCGTTTGTTCGTTGTTCGTGGTTGAATTCGCAAGCACGATTAGTATATATACCGACTTTCCCGTCGTCGTCGCCGTACGTTAAATGCACGGACACACCCGCGCCCAGTATCCGAGTATCCTTAGCTCCGTATCCGGCCAGGTGTAAAACGGGCCGTCGCGTAGTACCTGCGTCTTCTGTCCACCCAATGCGCGCGTGCATCGAGCGCGGGTTCGTTGAGTTTTAGGAAACGTAATTGTCTCAGGTACGTGCATCACTGTCAAACCGGGTGTCGGCTGTAACACCGCGACCGTTCCCGAAACGCATCCGGAGTGCACGATCGATCGCCACGTGTGATCATGCTCGGTGTGATTGACAGAGGTCTCGACCGAGAAACAAAGTGTTTGCAGAAAGTTTTCAGATAGTTTTGTGCTTCAATCAATTACGATTATTTGTCTCATTGGTCTCATTGGTCTCATTGGTCTCATTGGTCTCATTGATAACAATGAGAAAAGCGCTTGTATTAATCGTAAAATTAAAGAGTTTGCGAAATTGAGAAATTATTAATTGAAGATATGTTCTACGAAAATTTTTATATTTTATTCTTGCAACGGGAATAAATTGTCTGATAATGTATAAAATTGTTGAATGTAGTTAAAGCTTCGAAAGTTCATGGCGCAACATTTACAGTTCATAATTGTGTGACGATTGTATACTCCGACAGACATATCATTTACGTTACAGCTCTATGTAAAGAGTCTCTGGATGCGGTTCGGGAATGGGGAATTAATAATATATTAATTATGCATGCTCTCTATGTTTTATTTGATATTTAACAGTACGTATATATTTTTCTTATTATTAATATTTATGTTTGAATATTATTATTATTAAGATTTATGAAATGTAGAAATAATGAATGATATAACATTGACAACGATGTTATAAACGACTATGAGAAACATAACAACGTAAACACATATATTCTTAGAAGTTGCAGACACATATGCAATAAGATAGGAATATTATTTCGTTAAAAAATCTAGCAACTGGGAAATATATTTATTATCAACAAGCAAGAGAGTGGGAATGGTATAAGAGAAAGTTGAAAATTTGTGTTTATGTGAATTCGTGAAAGAAGAAATGTTGCATAATGGAAGGGATATATGTGCGTTATTATGAATATCATTAAATTTAAATTATTTGATGTGAAAGAAAACAATTATTAGTAACAATTATCGATATTAATAATCGACAGAAGAAGACAGAAGATCCTTGATGTTCTTTTTCTCCTTAAGAAGCTTTTTATTTCCGTCGTTAGAAGTAATGCGAATCGATGGCTTATCTCCTTGAACTACATCCAGATATACGAGTCAATACTATTTAATGGCATTTATCAATGTCTTATATTTTGTTCCTGTAGATAATATTATTTTGATGAACAATAGTTTCGTCACTTCCATTTCTGAAATAAAAAATAAAAATAGCGTACCGCGATATTTGATCTTCAAATCACTGAGGACATCCAGCTCTCCTGTTCTCCGAGAATTTTTGTCTTAAGTAACGAAATCCGAAGCTAGATGATCGCTATCTGCGCAACTTGACACTCTTGCGTGGGACTGTTGGTCTGTTCTTGCTGGTCGCGAGCTCCAAACCACCCCGCGTCAGCTGATTGAAATCGATAATGGTGAGCCGCGGCTCGGCGTCGGGTCGCGTCGTCAGGGCTTGCACCCTGTCGAGCGGTGCCCCGGGACTCCGGAACCTGTAGCTCTGACTACGGCTGCCGCCGCCGCCGCCGCCAACACCCGCTCCAGTTTCACTCGCGATTCCGGTTCCGGGGTGCTGTCCCATCCGCGTACCGCTCATCGATCGGTAACGAGCGCTCGGGAGCGGCTCAACTTCCTCCCGGAAATACCTGATGATGTTTCATTCGAGATTAATCGACTATAATGCTTTGACAAATAGTATGCATTGCGGAAAGCTCTGTCTCTCTGCAACTAAATTGTCTATCTGCACGAAAGATTTCTCTTTTGCTTCTTCTATTATGAAGAAGATACTACTTTTGTCTTGTGCATTAAAACATTTGATTTTTGATTTTTTACTCGTGCAAGTAGATTTTTTCTCTTTCTTTTCTCAGTCTCTCTGATATAAGCGGTTTGCAATTCTAACGATTGTGCTTTAGTGATATATAATTTGCATTTACATGCGGAACAGTTGAAATAATTACTCGTAGATGCTAGCGAGATGTAAGGTCGCCGGAGTCCTGACTGTTCTCGGTCTGGGCTGCTTTGGAAGACGGTACCGTTGCCGCGATTGACGCGTTCGTCTGTTCGACGGCTGATCAGGAAGCCCCGACGGGATAAGTCCAGTAAGCTTGTAATATTCCAGGAAGACGCGAGCCAGATTGCGGCCCAGCCTATAATCTGTATTCTGATAGTCAAGGTTTCAAATTTTCCTGATTAGATATTAACAGATTAGCATGTCGACTCCAAACTTTGACGTTCGTCGCATCACCATTTTGAATAAAGTTGCGATAAAATTGTTTTATATTGCTCGCAATAGGATAATTTTTTAATCATAGGATATAATTATGTATGATTGTGAAGGATACATCCTTCCTCTGTATACGGCATTATACCAGGTATTCCCTTCTTATTATAGCCGTGCATGGAAACTTCTATGCTGTAGCAATTGACATGCTCCTTCAAAATAGAGCATAAATAGCGGCGCGCGGTCCCGGCCTTGTTGTGGTCCTGATTGTACATGGTGTTGCCTAATTCGTAATCGTCCGCATGCTGAGCTAACAATTTCGGCAAAACGATGTGCCTCTCGTACCTGAGAGGCTGGCAGCCATAACTCAGATAGGGTTACAAGCTCTTAATCGACGTTAATTTATTTTGGCTCTCAGAATAATATAGCTTAGTCGTGTAGTCTAATATTACTCGATCTGCCCTTGAAAAAGGATTAGAGTTACCTGTAGACGTCCTCGTACGTGTTCCCGTAGACGAAGACACCCGTGGCATTGGTGTGCGCGTGCAAATCTAGCACGCAATCCAACGGCGTGTGAGAGTTCTTATCAAGAGATTTCAGCATCGATCTGGTTGCGAGCAGGCTAGGGTGAATCCATTCGGAGATACGGTTCCAGGATCGATTCAGATCTAATCCCATCACGGTGGACCTTAATGCGCGAAAATATCGAGCGTTATATTTTTATCTGCGACCTTTAGCCGAAGTGAAAACATTATTTATTTTCCAAATTTCTCATTCAATTTCTAATTTGATTTTCTTTTCTTACTACATTCAATTTCTAGTTTGATTCTTATAGAGTTATCGCTGAAAGCGAAAAAAATTGAACGTCGATTTATTTCTCTATCGAACAAATATTGAACGATTGTCACCTGTAATTTCCGAGAAAAACACCGTCGGGGTTCAGCATCGGTACTATCTTAAAAATCACATACTCTCGTAGAACCTGAGCGATAGGGTGCGCGCTGACCAAGAAGTCCATCAACCCCTGACACACGAACGAGGACGGTGACTCGCCCGGGTGAACTCTAGCGAGGACGACGACCACTTTTCTAGGTCGCTCGGTGTCCTCGAGGTCGGAGGTTATAGTTACAAGCTCTATGTTCCTCTTTTGAATCGACTCGGCTAGCGTCTCTCTCTTTGTGTACAACAATCTGCTGCATAGATTATCGAGGTGTCCCAAGTAACGAGTGTACGAATAGGGATATGTCAGAGTGAATTGATACATATCGTCTTCGCGATCGAACGCGAATGCAAAGCTCAGGACGTAGTGATTCTGATGCTGCGCGGATCTGTAATAAAAAACCTGCAAACATGACGGTAGATCGAGATGAATAATGAGTTGATTAATGCTTCTTAAATTTTTTTAAATAACATTTTTTTTATTGACGAAAAAAATGGTTTGAAAAACATTACTAAAAATTTTGATTAATTTTTTATAACGAGAATTTATTGCAAGGCTATATTCTAATAATAACGTTATTCATGGGTTTGTATTCGCTAAATTTATGACGACAATCAATCTGGCACCGATGGTAATCATTAATCGATTTCGCGATGCCGATAATTCTAAATTAAAAGACTATCTAATGCTTGATGAAGTAATTGGATATTGGAAGTTCGCTCTGACACAGTTTCTCTAGATTTAAACCGTCGATATTGCCGATAAATTGGAATGTCTGCGTCAATTGCGCGATGGGGCTGATCAAATTTGCCTTAGATTTACGGATATGCGCTTATATATCCTGAAATCGCAGATTTAGAACATAGTTTAGTCACATAACATAGTTTATTGAAAGAGAGTTTATTGAAATTAAGTTTTCTCTAACTTTCGATTCACATAGAAGCCTAATTAGCATAAAACAAAACATTATTTTTTTGTCAGGTTAAAAATTTACGGTGCAAAGAGCATCTTATTTAAAATTCACAACACGTCATAGACGTTGAAGATCGAATCATTATCAGCAATTGTTAACTTCCCGAAGTCTCACCTGTTCTCGCGGTATTCTCTGCCATTTCGGTCTACTGCTGCTCTTCACCAACGGCGTCATTCCCTGTCGAAAGAGATTCTCGCTCTTAGAGATATTTACGATGTTGAAGATCACCCGTTGATCCGCCTTTACATTATCCACGGTGAAGTTAAACCACAGGCGTAGTCTGGGCCCACAGGTGTCGGGCCTGATGAAAAGATCGTACTCAAATTCGGAGATTAAATCCACCCTGCCAAGATTACCGGTCTCGAATGTGGCGTCGAAGCAGATGTGACCCTTCTTGGCCTTGCCGCTGTGTCCAGGTGGTCGTATTATCATCTTGTTCACGTTACCCATGCCACCCTCGGCATCGCTATCCTCGCTTTCTGCAAATAGCGATTCGACGATACAATTAAACAGAGATAAATGTAATCTAGAGTACGGCGATTTTGAATGATATTGAATTTCGCAATAGTTTCATCGTGCGAAAGGAAAGGAGGAGAACGTTGACAGCGACGTTATCGTTTCACGCTCGTATCGATTAAGTATTATCAATGACTTGCGACTTGAAAAGTGAGGATTTCCGCGTAGCGATTGCGTCGAGTGCATTGTTGAAACATATTCATATGACTCATAACGGGGATATCTGATTACCATCGGCGCGCTGATAAAGACTGGTTTGCTCCAGGGGATCCCGTCCCTCGTAAGGGAAGACCATGGCTCTCGAAATGACGATCCGAACGGAATTGATTTATCGGCGAAGTAATATAGTCCGGCACTATCGGCGAACAGTTTTTTTTAAACGAGAGTAAGCATAGAGCAAACAACGGCGTGACCCATCGGGTGAAAGATACGATGAGGAACTGACGGCACCGTGAAACCGGGTCTACATCGCGGTAGGTGTTACCGCCTACGTGATAAGAGTGGAACTTCGCGATCTGCACGCGCCTTCGTGGAATCGCACGCCTGGTTCGCGATCTCGCGTGAACGAGTACGAGCTCGTTCACAGCATAGGAAATGGGAATCGGCGGCACGGCCGTCGGGAAACTCGCGTGGCTGCTAGACGTCAAGGATCTCGTATACGCGATCTCACGACAGCGCCCGAATTCTCGCCTCGCCCACGTCGAAGCACGGGATTAAATCGTGGAAACTCGTTTGCGGTCACGATATCATGGCTCGTCCGCGGCGAACTCTCTGATTGATTCGATTAACAGATGCTGAGATTAGAAAGGAGCGTGATGAGAGGCCGAAAGTCGGGATAGTTTTACGAAGTTGGATGGATATAGCGATAACTGTGCGGAGGTCAATTAACTGTAAAGACGGTATTCCGGGAGTTGTTACACTTGGCGCCTATCGATTGCATACGAATATACGTACTTTTGCTGACTTTATCAAATAAAATTTTTTATTAGAACATAAGTGAGCTAGATAAGAGTAAATCTCTTTTAATCTCTCTAACATCTGCACAATTATTTGCCAGATACGCAAACCAGTGACTGATTATAAATTATTTAAATTATTAAAAATGTTTTAAATTATGTAAAAATACTATTAATATTATTTTGTAAAATGTAGTTTCTTTTTTTGTATTTTAATTAAGTCATTTGCGTGCAGGATCATTCGCTGCAAGGAATGTATGACTATCACTGTTTATAAAAATGGCAGAACTGTCTTATAAAGATCTACAAATATCGGCGGGAAAAAATATCAACAAGATAAACGAAGAAATTCACGATATTTCACCTTCGTCGCTATAATAAATACAAGAGAGAACTCCGCCGACTAAACTTTTATCATATTTCTTATCATAGAAACATAGCTCGCGTTCGATCTAAATCGAGATCATTCGATATCTATTTCGATCGTATTCTATACTCGACGACGCAAATGTCGCATCATGTGTTTATGACTAAAGACGCTATAGCTTTCTGTGACAAGTAAGAAAGGTTGCTATACTGGCTTTACATATAGTTGAATCGTCAATGATTCAGCGTACGGAAATAAAACTTACACTGTGCCTTCTCAAGAGATATAGAATACTTTTGTCTATTTATTGAATAGCAACGTCTTGCGTACGCGTAGCGCCACGTACGATATTCGAAATCGCTTGTGTGACATTTTAAAATTAAATTAAAGACTAATTTAATTTACCAGTTCAATGGAGCATTGATTAAATAAACATTAATTTTCTTAAAAATTCAATGTTCTATAAAATAAAGTTTCAAAGAATCGATAGAAAAATTTTATTTTAAGTGAGAACATAGAAACGTGATTGTATTAAAAATATTCGTCCTTTAAAGAACTCGAACATTAAATCAATTTTATGATATTTATTACAGTACAAATTATTTTTAATTAAATAGAAAAATATTTATTCTTGCATATCAAAATATGCTGGAAAGATTAAATGACTTTTAATAAAGAATATTATTCCACTTAAAAATATGGCAAATTTAAATTTAAATTTCGAGTTACCTTTCTTATATTAACGATATTTTTATTTTCCTGGATTATACAAACAAGTTATCACTGTAGTATTTTCATCGACTTTGATGCGGTATTAGGGGATAAAGTGTTTTTTAGTTGATTAGGGTAAATGACCGAAAAATGATATTTATGTGAAAGAAATAGTATTGCAAAATTCTTGGAACAAAAAACCAGAAATAGCTCCCGGAAAGCATAATTAAAAGTAGAAAAAAAAAACACAAAAAAAACTTGGAAAGCGACAGAAAAGGAGCAGGAAGAGAGAAACAGAAAGGGAAGCCTGAGAGGGAGCTAGAGAAAAAGAGAGTCGCACAATTATATGCATCGGTAACCTCACGCTAAATCTTCAACAATTTCTATTACACGCTCGGGGAAAATAACGAGGACCATTTTCCGCAGTCCGTCCCATTTTAATTGCCGCGACAGAGTCGTCGCGAGGTCGTCGGTTTAAATCAATAAGATGCCTGTTACTTCGTCAGGAATATTCGCAGAATTCTCGCGCTGTTGAATTATTTCACGTTAAAAATATAGATTACTTTCAACGATAATCACGATTATCACAATTGTTAACCAATAAATAATTAATTGCGAGTGAAGAGGAGTGCGAGTTCAGATCTGATAGATGAGAACAGATATTCTTGCTTCTTTCAAAACAACCATGTTAAACGATTAATATCGCGAAGCGAGAAAAATATCAATTTAAAAAGACTCATGTACTTAAGAACAGAAGACGGTTTTATGATACAGTTTTGCGATTCATGGGATAAACTTACGTACACTTTATCAACGTATACGGCGCGTTCTGTTAACTAACAAAATTCTCAGCTCTTGTTCTCTCGCGTGTGCATTTGTACGGCAGTCTCGAGAAACCGTCGATTGTTACGTTCTTAGAGCTATCATCTTAACTTCTCCGACCGAATGATTGACATCCATGTCGGTGGCCTCGCCTACGTGACGTTGTTCTCCCATTTGCTGTGGAGTTTCGAGTCGACGCGAGATGGGAAATGTCAGGGTGCAATCGGCGAGCGCGTGATGATCCTCGCGTGACCCCTTCGCACAGTGAATCCGATCGATTTGACGGATCGCGAGCGGAGATCTATCGAGAACGGTATACGGACACGTTCCGCGTGACTACGCGGACAGGTGATAGACGATAGCGCGTGGCAGTCACGAACGGGTTTCGCGAGTTAGTTCGAGAGAACAACATATGAAGAGTGCAGGTATATGTACATACGTACCGGTTTCGTCGGCTTCGGACATGTTGGCGCGACACCGTGGGACTTGTCCCCGACTGGACCGCGCGAGTCGCGACTTTGTACACTTTGGGCGACACCGTCGCCGAGTCCATCCTGGTTTCCTTGGTTTGTTGAATCGATATGAATACCGTCTCGGGCAGGGCGATCATCTTGTACTGCAATGTTCCAGATAAACTTGTAGATGAAATGAATTCATTTAAATCGAGGAAGTAAAAATTTCAGCACTGACGCGAGGTTTATTCTCAGCTGAATTAAACGAGCGTTATACGATATACGATCTTTATTCATCAATGCATACTTGATGTTTTTTTCAAATTTTATCCCTTTGCGAAATAGAATTATTCTGTCGCGAATAATAATCTAGCAGCGCTTGTAATCTAAAAGGGGCAATTTTCTTAATCTAAATTTGTCCCTCGTGTAACCCCAAAACCTAAGTTTGACACTCGATTATACACATTTATCGCGTGAGTCTCCGGGTAACAGCAGTGAATTTTAGAAACGATCGATAGCCAGAGAATGGCTGGAAATTGATTCTCCAAAACAGGATTTCTATCTTGAAAATTTATTAATAAGAAAATTTCGCTCTTCACATAATTATTTTTAGCAGTATCCAATTGGTGAGTTAATGAGCTCGTTACTTGGAGCGCTGACAATTAAACGGTATTACATTGCCGTTATACGAGAGTCACTAATTAGGAGCCAGTCATGTCATTTCCGATCTGCGCTGCCTCGAGGACCGTCCGTTTTCCCCGTAATCTTGCTTAGTTAGTTTGCTTATATAACGTCTATGTTTATATAGACGCTTATGTAACGCCTAGACAAGGGGGTGGCGGATACGTAATTTGCGCGCATGAAATTCAATCGTCACAAAGGCGGCTCCGGGCAGTCAGGTAAGCCGCCTTCGTGTGACACGCAGCCTCGTTCCCGGGTCCACGCAATGTCTCCTGCATCCGGTAGATGCGCGTGCAGCACGATCGTAAGGTGTGCAGCCACCTATCCCCCGGCCAGGCTCCGCTCCGGGAGAGGGATGATGATCCGGGCTGGGAAACGACGGAAGAGGGAGGACGGTGAGGTGGGCGGAGAGTAGCGAGTCTCGGGGTGACATTTCCGCGGATAATTTTGCGAGCGAAATGACGTCGTTTATTTGCTCGTTCGTCTGCCGCGCGACAAATTTGTGTTTGGTCTAATAAAATAGCTCGCGCTCTTCTATTGTAGAAAATTACGTAAATTTATGACTAAAAAGAATAAGAATGTACGATAATTATCGCATCATCGATGCTGATGTGATAAGGATAAGAGAGTAGAAAATAATTATTGTAGAAAATAATTATTGTAAAAGAGTAAATAAATATATGGCATTTAGTATTTCAGTTTTAAACATTTAGAAAACAAATTTGATTGTAGAGAGAGAATATAAAGGCGTAAATATCTTGTAAAACAATTCAGTATACAGAAATTTGTTTAAATAATATATAGGAAATAATGTATTCACCCCAGTTTCGAAACACCGCGGACAAATTTATTTTCCTATTTTATTTTCACTTCTCATGAATTCAGGCAGTCGTGAAAATCGCGAAGGAGTCTGAAGTAACGAATTTCTAAAGATAGAATGCAAATTAGACGGCAAGGAAAGGAAACTAGCGCGGGTGGGAGGGGAGGATGAGATAATTCCGTACAAACGCCGAGCTGCAGGATCCGGTAAACCAATTTCCCGATCTCGGAGGACATTTTTCTGGATGTCGGTTAGTGGTGGTGGTAGCGGCGGTAGTGACGGCGCGTACCCTGGTGAATGCCCTCCTCCTCCCCCGGGCTTTGGCTGGGACCTCCGGCTTGGAAGTCCCCTTTGGTCCCCCTCTCTGGCCTGGCGTTTCGCACCCCTTCCACTCACCGGGAGTACTGGGAGCCCGCGAAACGGGTGGAAAGAGGGACGTAGAACTGCACGAGAGAGAGTGAATGACTGGGAGAACGCGGGAGATCGATATTCGAAAGACCCCCAGTGCCCCCCTCGAGCACCCCGTCCGCTCCCCCCGAACCCCGGCGGCCGGCGGCCCCGTCTGACGCTGGCACCCCTCGGTCTACCCTCCCAGTGGCGTAGGAAGGAGGCGCGGCCGTCGCCCGGGGTAGAATGGGCGCGCCGCTTTTCCCAGGACACTCGGAAGCACAAAGAGGACGAGTGCGCCCGTAAATTATCCGCCGCGCCGTCGTCCTCTCGCGGAATTTATGCCGACCTCCTCTGGAAGGTGTCTAGACTCCTTTGGCGATTAAGACGCGGGGTGGGCGCGACTCACGATCGATCGTCGGCGATTGGCGAGTTTTACGAGCGGTTACATCGGCGACACGACGGTATTTTCTGGCGCATACCTCGACGTCAATGTACAGCGATACGTGTGTTGCTCAATTATTTATATTTGACACATTCACGATATCGTGTACTATGCAGAAACAAAAGTTAGAAAAATTAATTTGCAAAAGTTCGAAAAGGAAATTAGCAAGAGACATTCATTGTAGAATCAAAAATTCTATATCTCTATACTTATCGCGAACATGTTAAATTATTGACAAAAACATTGTCGATATATTAAAATAATAACGCAAATGATAATTTTATTGCTGTTTGATCCGCATATTGATTATTCTCGATTGAAATTTAGAAATGTTAGAAATCTGTGATTTAATGAATATAAATAATTTATAAGTATGCAAGTTTTTGTAGAATAAACAATTATTGTTGATACAATACAGAATACTTCATGAAACAAACAGTGCAGTCAAACGTTAAAACTCGCTTCCGAGTTTTTGTACAATTGAAAAAGTATAACATGATAAAGTAACCAATATAATTATTGAAATGTAATATAACATTTGTTACTCTTTTCTTGTTAAACTAAACTTCTTACTTATATTGATACGAAGACCACGTAATTTTTTTCCACGTGTTCTCTATTCACATGATATATTCAGCAAAAACTTTCAACAAAATTGCCTGTCTCGCGTACGTTGATAAACAGTACAATACATTTTCCTACGCCATTGACGCGTACTTCGACTGACCCTTATATGCATACGTGCTATTTACCATTAGATTACACCCCTTGTCTCCCTCGTCTCTTTCCGCTTCTCCCTTATGACTCTCTCCCTCTTTCTCGCTTTGTTCCGTCGCGGCGACTCCTTTGCTCTACATCATTCGCCTATCTCTTGTGTATCTCGTAAAACTGAAATGTACAAGGTGGCGCAAACGAAACCAATTACACACACATCTTCGTGTCCGATGCCTATCGATTCTCGCTTCCATCCGTGACGTGACTCATTAAGGAATCGTTCCTTATGAAATCGTTAACGGCACCGTGCGTAACAAAAACAAATAAACTTTGCGCACGTGTATGTACATGTAAAAAAGAAGCGATCGATAGACCTCATACATTAGTGCGCTATCATTCACGATCGCTGATCGCAGATGAGTTCGCCGTCGCGAGATAAACGTATTTGCCGTTCGCTTCGCAGATTTTATATCGCTGTGTACATTCGTGTGAGTTTGCTTATTTGATATTGATTCAACAACACATAAAAATTCTACTGTAAATACAACGAAGTGAATAAGATCATATTCTTACTGCAATTATAATAGTTTAGTTACAAACCGGTTATATAATTTTGTAAAGAGATGTATTGGCAGAACTGAAGTTGCATTTTGCGCATTTTATTCAAACATATTTTGTAATATTACGTAATACATAATTAATTCTGTTAATTCCAACATTAATTGTATCAAGCAGCAGACTCAACGTTCGCCAGATTTCGTGCAAAATTTATTCAACACGATCGAATCGTTGATAATGTCGTCATGATGGATATGATTTCGGGAAGTGCAGTTTCGTTTTATCAGACGGAATACGTGATTCGTCGTATGATGAAATTTGGCCGCGCTCACGTTACCGAAAAGCCATTTGCCGGGCACTCTCGGCGAGCTTTTCGACCCTCTGTCCAACGCTTGCGCTATCCGGTCCTTTCAACTCTCTCTCTCGCTCTCTCTCTCTCTCTCATCCTAACCCTCTCCTTTTCTCTCTTTCTCTCGCTATCAACCCCTCCATTTTGTAAACCCCATTTGGCGCGTGCGTGTTTCTGACGACTGCTACTCTCACCCTCATCTCTCTCTCTGCTTCTGCCTTTCCCCTTTCTCTGTTGCCTCTCCCCCCCCCCCTCGATAATCGAAGCAATGTACGCTTGTTCAAAAGTTCGTGTGCATTCGCGATATTAATCATGCCAGCTTCCCGCGAAGATCAGCCATCGTAATGCAGCTCGATCGATTTCACCGGGATTGGTCCGTGTGATGGATGTTGCCGTTAATAGGGGGAAAGAGACACCGGTTCGCGTTTAAAAGTCGGCTCGAAACCGAACGCACTTTTGCTCTCTTCTAGTTCTCCCTCGCGTGTCTCTCTCTCTCTCTCTCTCTCTCTTTCACTCCCCTTTCATTTCCCTCTTTAATCTAACACTGCCTACAACAGTTTGGAAGCTGGCAGCCATTGTTTTAGCGACCCTTTGGCTCGCATTCCCCCATCCTTTCCACCTTTTGTGTTTTCCTTCCCTTTTTTTTTCTTATCTTTCTCTTTCATCTTCGTGAACTTCAGTGTCTGCGTAAATTTTACCATCCTCTTTCGATTCACTGTTTACCTCAGAGTTTACCCATATTTTTCCAGCTCGATGTTCCCTCCTCTACACTCTCGCACTGGTAATGTCGGAGACGAGTGAAATATCGCCCGACTATACAAGCGGCGAAGTCCCGTTTCCACATCGGCCCATATTTTCTCGTAATTATCGATCGGACATAAATAACCGCGATCGTGTTGTTTGGATTATTTACATTTCTAGATTATTCATATGACGTGTTCGCGATGTATTCTTTTTTAGGAGAGCCTAAGGATAATCGTCTCTCTTTTTCTTCCAATGTACTAACTATATGAAACACTTTAATTCGTAACGCAGCTTAAAACCAATCAACCCGTGCTCCGCCGTCGAGAATCTAAATTAAGGCTTTTAATTCTGCAAAATGTCACTCGGTTCATCGATCCGTATAATGACGGTCAATTAAAGAGACGTTTTTGGAGAGAGTATCGAGCCGAGCTATCATCAGTTAACGACAATCACTCTTTCCCCGTGTAACTGCACTTATTCGTGCAATGACCGACGCGAGAGTGGTGGTTTCCCGTAACTCCCGGGACGATCGTTTTAATCAATAGTCACCCCCTCCTCCTCCCTCTCGCATCCGGGCGTCATTTATCACGGGGACGTCTCGCGTGCATAATGACTGAAAAAAAAAATCTCTCCATAGCTGCGCCGCGATGCGCGCTCGATGTTTGGAAATACCGTGCATTCGAAGCGACGCACACAGGACCAGCCGCCAGCCAGCCAGCCAACCAACCCCCGACGGCCGGTATGCGGAGGGTTGGTGCAAGCCGCTGATTACGCTTGCGCGAATTTTCCCCTTTCCCGCCGGCCCTCCCGAACCTCTTCCGTCTTCTCTCGCACCTCTTCCTCACAATCTCTCTCTCTCTTTCTCTCTCTTTCCTCCCTCGTCGCATCTCGCTGCCACTATTCGGCCTCTCCTTCACCTTTTTCCGACAACGATGGCGTCTGCGTACATCGGGCGCCAATCTCCCTCGACCGTGCTTTCTCGCGATTCTTTTCGCCTCGAGTCTATCCCATCCCCCTCGACAGAACGAGTCGGCGGGGACGGCGGCGGCGGCGGCGGCGGCGGAGACGGCGGCGGCAGCGGGTGTCCGAAGGGTGCAACCGTCGGCATCGAGGCTCGGCCTCGTCAGTTTAGTTACCGCACCACATAAAGGCATTGCGTTGTAGACACCGTTATACCCGCAACATTCTTACTATTTGCTTGCATATCTCCTAATTTCTGACCCTTAAATTCGGCATAAAATAAAAAAGAATAAGAAAAGAAGAACACTCGGTTCGGTATCGTTCGTCGTCATTGTCGTAAAAAAAAAAAAGAAAAGAAAACAGCACAGTTGTGTCGCCGTTGCCGTCATCATCGTTGTCGTCATTGTCTTCGTCATCCTCTAACATTCAGTTGTTCCGCTCTGCTTTGTCCCGTCCACGTGCCGAACGAACAACGTCCACCGTCGGATGACAAGATCGTCACGACAAAATCGTCGCTCATCAGGAGAAACGAACACGAACGAGAAGAGAATCACGCAAACGCCGTGCACGAAGATAAATTTGCCGGGCAAAGCAGAGAAACGTTCTCCTGTTCTTCCGATTTTATGATTTCGTTCGAACCCCGATCTTGTGCTTTCCACTATCTCGTTTTCCCGACCCGTCCCTGCCGCGAGGAGCGCTTCTTCGTGTCCCGATTGTTCATCCTCCGATCGACTTGACGCGCCGCGATAATTCGGAGATTCGAGTCGGTCGTGAAGAAATCGAAATAGAATCGACGGTGTTCTCACGTGATAACGCGAAAGCGAAGCAGAAAACGAAGGAGCGGTCGAGAGTTGAACGTGTTAGCGAAAGAATGGTAGCGTGAGCAACGAAAACGTCAGCTGGAAGATCATTTGATCGGCAGAAGAGACACCGGCAAAGCGAGAGAGAGAGAGAGAGGGACATATAGGAGAACGATCCTGCTGGTCGGGGGTGGGAGTGAAAGAGAGACACTGGGTGTTTACCGCGCGCGCGAGATTTGTTTATTTCCTCTGTCGCGAGTTATTTATGTCAAGTGCTCGCGGAAATCCAATCGTCAAATCCTTGAGGGACGCGTTTCCGGGATTCCCGATGATCGCAAATCAGCTTCCACATTGATCGCACCATTGTCGATTCGGATGTTCCAAACCGTGTCGTGATAAATAAATTTGTTTAAAGAAAAGAAAAAGTTAGTACAAAAATACGGGAAACACGCACACCGCGTTACCGTTTTAAATCGAAGTCGAGATACGTACGAGAGAATAATAAGTATCGAGAGAGGGACAAGCATATAATAGAAAGAAATAAAAGTAATTAAGTAAAATCCACCGCCGTTCCGTTCTGCGCCCAGATATCGGCATCCTCCAACCACTGATTTTCATCGTTAACCGGTATGTTCATTTGTTTCTTTACTCTTTCGTTGTTTCTGTGATTCTCTCACGAATCTTTATCATTATCGTTATTATTATCTTGTTATTATTGTTGTTATGATTGCCGTTATAATTATTGACTATTTGTCAGCGGATCAGTGTACGTCGAACGTACGCCGATCGGCTGTCGATCTTTACGTATATGTTCGTCCTCTGTGCCGGGGATCCTCATACGAGGAACCTTCCGGTACCACTTAGGTTGTCCTTTTAATTCCAAGATATCCTTGTGGTGCTCCCGCGTGCTTCGCCTTCGTAACTTTTATTGATTGTTTTTTTGAAATTTCGCAAAATATTTTAACACAGTTAAATTTACGGGAAAATTAAGTTTACAATGCCAAATATTTGCAAATTGAATTAAAAGAGAGATTGTTAGAAGCAATAAAACATTTTTCATATAAATACAGCAAGAATGCAAATCGAATGCGTATCGTAACGTGTAAACATAAAGCCACATGAAGCATAATCTTCAGATTAATTTTACTGTAATTTTTTATTTCTGATACTAACATCATAATAGAAAATTACAAAGTAGACAATAATATAAAAACAACAAGAGAAATTTATAGAAAATTATAAGAAAGCATCATAATAGTTATTTCATTAAAATCGCAACATCTGATCGAGAAATATTATTGCAAGTGTTCAAACATTTTATATCGTCTCTTTGTACGTGGAAAAGACCTCGCTGTAGAGAATAATTGTGTGATATAGTGTAAGGAACGCGTTTAGAAATGAAAGACCAACGCGGAATTAGACGGCGGGGTGCTCATTAACGAAGGCAAAGTTGTTACGTTTAAACGTCGATCAGCAGCCGCCATAACCGCGAACGTTGCGTCCAGCAGCTGACGCTTACCACGGCGCAATATTGTATGTGCACCAGACCGCTCTTTCTCTCTCTCTCTCTCTCTCTCTCTCTCTCTCTCTCTCTCTCTCTCTCTCTCTGGGCGTGGCACCAGAAAGCGACTGTCGCGGGAGCACCACTTCGCAACACACATATACATACGCATAAACACATACACCTCTTCCTGCCTCTCTCTCTCGATCCAACCCCTTATCGATCCCCGCAGCGTACCGACCGAAAAACGGCAAATTGAAATAACTCAGTAGCGAGGGACACGGCGAGCTCTCGCGATGCATGACGAAGCGTCGAGCAGATCTGGGATGGAGCGAAGACCGGCACTGCGAGTGCTTGTCGAGGACAAGCAGGATGTCTCGAGAGGGACACTTCCGTCCGCGATGGCCTCGATTACAATGGTGCGTGAGCCAAACAGAGGGAGAGCTAGGCGGTATAGTCAGTGGAGATCGATTGATTTCACTTTTTTTTCCTTCTTACCAGGCTATTAGGTAACTGAATACCAAATGCCTGAATTTTGTTTAAATTTCTTTTTTTTTTTTATTTTTTTGGAAAACGAGTCTCGATGAAATTTCAGTTCCAAAATCGAAATCGTTTTCCGACGTTTAATGTGTAATTACATTAAGGAAAACTAATAAGCTAACGAGGAAAACTCCCATCAAATTTTCTTTTTGTTAAAACTCTGTTATCTGCGTGTTTAACGCTTAATAACAAGTATGCAAGAAAGTATGCGAGATATACAATTTACGCTAAGATTGTGTAAAGGGTGACAAGAATGAGCGAGGAGTGGAGGGAGTCGACAGCCAGGATCGAACAATCGACTTTGTTTCCCGCGCGTCAGCGTAGAATTCTCAGACGAGTAGCGAAATATCAAAGATTGTCCGCGATTTTACGAAGGGGTGGCAGCAAGGGCAATGAAGAGAATCACGAGAGACAGAGAAAGAGAGAAGGAGGGAGAGAGAACAAGAGAGAGAGAGAGAGAGAGAGAGAAAATGACGGAGAGAGAGAAGCATGTACATCGGGGTTCATATACCCCCAGGGTAGCTGCAACGTTCCGCCGTGCCACCGACCAATCAATGGAGCTTCTCTGTGGACTTTCTCTCCTCTCTCTCTCTCTCTCTCTCTCTCTCTGACTCTTTGTACATCATATGTACAAATACAATCGTCCTGTAGAAACGCGCACGAACGCACACGTAATGTATGCGCGTTGCGTGTACGTTTGATACGACGTAACATGTCGCGGATGTACGCCGATGACCACGTAATCGTTGCTGCCCGAAATAGGAAATATGCAATAAATTTGCTTATAACCGCACCCGCGACACAGGCTCACATAATTATCGGAAAATTTATTTATTACGTTTGATGCTGAAATAATTGTACGTTAAATTCGATTACACTTCGGAATTGTGAATTACGAGCGGAGAAAAGGCAGAATTTGATTCTTTTATTGAATTATTTTTGATGAGCCTCTTGCAGGATATGTTAAATTGAAATTTAATTAACATTCAATTTAAATATAAGCATTTATTATATGAATGGCGATGTGTATAAAAGCAAATGAGTGCCACGAAACATCATTCGTGAATGTATGGGGGCTTTAATTAATGTTTATGCACGCATCCAATATTTCACTGATAAATTCTTTTGGATTAAAAATAAGCGAAAAAATAATTACATGTAATTTTGGCGTTGCACAATATGTTACAGTACAAATTAACCTTAATAAGAACTCTTTTAATCATAGATTGATGTACGTTCAACCAACAATTATTCGAGGAAGAAGAAATTCTTTAATTTTAACAAAATACCAAAACTTTGATTTTAAAGTACAAAGAAAAACAATGGAAAAAAAGTTATGAGAATCGGAAGCGCGAATGTCGGAGCGCAAAAAATATTACAAATTTATCTTTTACGCTTCAACATCCGATTCTCGCAACTTTTTTCTGTTGTTTTTTGTTCTCTAAAAACCATACGTTACACTATTTCAAAATAAAACATAATTTACGTTTGGGAATGTAAGCGCATCACAAATGCAGAAGATCGAATTCATCGGCTGTTAATTAAAAGACTGATTTCTTTAGTTGCTTATTACTCACTCATTATTATGCAGCGTTTCAAATAACGAAGTAAATATTACACGAAAAGTGTAAGCTAAAGCTCTATAAATACAAGTATGTTTTCGGACCTGAACACGCTTAAGAAGCTATTCACAACCTGTATCTATCTCTACACACTTTTGCTCATCCGTAATCGCCGACATTAAAACTTTTCCGCTAGTTGTGTGCCTAGGAACATGCATTTGCATATATTAAACCGAAAAATTAATTTCACGCGCTATAACCACCGTGAGATCAATTAACGCGCTGTAATTACTGTTATTTTTCTTTCTGTACGCACAGCGGACACAGATCATTATTTATATTTTTAATCTTAATAGATATCTCTCTCAATAAAAGAGACTAAAATATCTGTAACATTTTGTAATAGCTGTTTCTATGATTTTTATCGCATTTTTTGATGCTTATAAATATTAAAACAATCTACGAAGAGAGATATCAACATCAGAATTAATCGCTTCTAATTGCTCCTACTAATTGCATATGAATATTCTCGAAGATTACGTCCGCAAGTGATTACGTCCGCAAAAATAGAAGCTTAACCAACAAGCATTTCACGTGACACTATTTCTATTTACAATTGTGTCGGTACTTTGAAATAACTTCGCGCGTCGTTCCGTAAGTAAGGCCGAATCGATCTCGAGACGGTGGTATCGACGGAATCTCGTTAGGAGTTCAACGACCTCAGAAAAAGTTGTTGGATGGAATTATTGTTCCCAAGGTATAACCGAGCAGAATTATACTCGTGCCCGCCGTGCCAGATCAATGATGCCGAGGGCCTTACCCCCGAAAAACGTAGCTTCGACAGCTGGATTGTGACTAAACTAAAGAGGGTGAGGCCTGCGTTTTGTCGACAGGAATGATTCACGGTTTCGCCACGCGACCGGCGTATTCGCATTTTTTTACAATTTTGCAAAATAATTTTGGTGTTTGTACATGTTTAATATTTGTTCAACCATTTAGCCATTAGTTATGTACATTTTACTACAATGTGTAGAGTGTACTACATACTTCTCTATTAATTGTTAATAAATTATACCTGAGCACTATACGTGATCAATGTTTGTATTTTCACTTCACGAAAGGAATTCAGAAATGTATAAAAAATAAAATTTTTGTTCCCGCTAATCGCAATCAAACGTTCTTCGATGTTTGATGATTATTAGCCACGGATAGGATTAAATCTTTTTCAAGTTAGACCGGTCGGATAGTCATAAGTTTAGAAAGCGGCTTGATTTCGGGGAGGGATTTGCATGTAATATACGTGTACGTACAAAGAATACGCACGCGCGTACGTCGCTTGTTTTCTGCATATGTCCCGCATCTGTTAGTAACCGTGCCCTAGTCTAAACTTTATCCCTTTTTGTTCTCCACCTTGACCAGACGTTATAGACTCTCCGGTAGCGACGCTTTGCGTTAGGTATGGTCATGGGTGCGACCTGGAGATTTTTTCACGACACCCATTCTTCTCTCCGTGATCGGATTACAAAGGTATCTGATAAATCTGAAAGGACTTTATCGACATTCTTCGTGAATTTGAAACGAATCAATATTCGGTCAACTTTATTTTTCATTTTTTTTTTGTATCCATTATTTTAAATAGAACGATGGAGGAAATTGCAATTTTTATTCGCTTTACGGTCGATCCCGTAATAGCAGCTTGTAATGTCATGACATTATTCGCTCGTAAAAATATTCCGATGCGCGTTCGTTGCGCTATGCACGTAGGAACGGAAATAAATTTCCGAAAACATCGGCACACACCGCGTTTATTGGCACGGTCGCCAAGTCTTACTCAGTTCGTTTCGTCAGAGCCGCATAATTTCGGACTGTAATCATTTGGAGACCGATCTCCGGCTATAAACTCCGAACTAAGGTCAGGGATGCAGATACTTCGATCGTTTCCTGCGATTACACGCCTCGTACGCGACGAGATGAATGACACACATTTACGCAGACGGAGTATCAATCAAGTTATAATTTTATCC